CGGATATCATGTTTTCCAGGTCGAAATCCCTCTTGTCGAAAAATCGGAAAATCTGAATAAGTATAAACTCACGAACTTCGGATTTTTGAAAATGCCAAATAGGCGGTAGATGCTATTTCTGAAGTAGTATCTGAATAACAAATATTGTCAGTAAATAGATCCTGATAATTGCTGTCAATGCTACCGTAATGGAGGTAAATGGCTATGTACAGTCTTCAGCTAGTATGGTTGACAGAAACTATAATCGTATATAGCCATAGGTGTTCTGTACACTATAGTCTTCGTAGGACCACAGTCAATCCATAATTCAAATACTACCAATGAATAAATCCTGATAATTGTTGTCAGTGTTGGTGTAATGAAGGTAAATGGCTATGTACACTCTTCAGCTAGTATGGTTGACAGAAACTGTAGTCGTTTTGTATAGCTATATCTAGTCTGTGTACTATAGCAATCGTAGGAACATGGTAAATTTGTACGGCAATTCTTCCAGTAAAGAGATGCTGATAATTGTCAATACTGCTATAATATATTAAAATGGCTGTGAATACTATACAGCTATTGTTGGTTCATAGTTACAGTAAACCTTGAATGGAGCGATATCAGACATGTTTACTGCAGTATTAATTGGATTACCGTAAAACTGTACTGTGAATACCTCCAGTAAATGGATATTGATAATTGTTGTCAATACTGCTGTATTATAAATAATTGATATGCACACCCTTCAACTAGTATGGTTGACAGAAACTTTAATCATTGTACGTAGCCATATCTGTTCTGAATACTGTAGTCTTCATAGCAGCACGGTCAATACGTAATGCAAATACTACCAGTAAATAGATGCTAATAACTGTTGTCAATGCTCCTTATTGTATGTAAATGGCTATGCACACTCTTCAGCAGGTATAGTTGACAGAAACTTTAATCATTGTACATAGCCATATCTGTTCTGTATACTGTAATCTTCATAGGAGCACGGTCAATCCGTAATGCAAATACTGAGAGTAAATAGATGCTGATAATTGCTGTCAATGCTACTGTAATGGAGGTAAATGGCTATGTACACTCTTCAGCTAGTATGGCTGACAGAAATTGTAGTCGTTGTATATAGCCATATCTGTTCTGTATACTGTAGTCTTCATAGGAGCACGGTCAATTTGCATTCTAAATATTACCAGCAAATAGATCCTGATAATGCAGCTATATTGTATGTAAATGGCTATGCATACTCTTCGACTAATATGATTGACAGAAACTTTAATCGCTCTATATAGCCATATCTGTTCTGTATACTGTAGTCTTCATAGGAGCACGGTCAATTTGCATTTTAAATATTACCAATAAATAGATCCCGATAATTGATGTCAATGCTGCTATACTGTATGTAAATGACTACGCATACTCTTCAGATAGTATGGTTGACAGAAACTTAAATCGCTCTATATAGCCATATCTGTTCTGTATACTGTAGTCTTCATGGGAACACGGTAAATCCGCAATCAAAATATTACCAATAAATAGATCCCGATAATTGATGTCAATGCTGCTATACTGTATGTAAATGACTACGCATACTCTTCAGATAGTATGGTTGACAGAAACTTTAATCGCTCTATATAGCCATATCTGTTCTGTATACTATAGTCTTCATAGGAGCACGGTCAATGCGTAATACAAATACTACCAGTAAATAGATGCTGATAATTATTGTCAATGTCGTTGTAATATATGTAAATGACTATGTATACTCTTCAGCTGGTATGATTGACAGAAACTGTAGTCGTTCAGTATAGCGGTATCCGATCAGTATACTATAGCGTTCGTAGGAGCACGGTAAATCTGTGCGGCGAACACTACCAGTAAATAGATACTGATAATTATTGTCCATACTACTATAATATACGTAAATGACTATGCATACTCTTCAGCTAGTATGATTGACAGAAACTGTAGTCTTCGTACGTAGCGATATCGGTATCAGTAGATATGGACATCGGTGATCAGACGAGCGGACGCGTTCCTCGAGGAGTGACTCGTAATTAAGACTGCGTAGTGTCCATGCGCGCAAGATGGAGGCAACTCTTAATGATCTAATGGACGCCTCGTTAATCATTCACGAGGGAAAAAGAGGGAAAGGGAGATTAACCGCGCTGACTCAGCCACTGGCTTCCTGGGAGGCGTGCAGAACGCAGTGGATTCGGTTCCCCGCGGGATGGAACGACGCATTAACGTTCTCCGCACGCTTTCGAATATCCTGCTAAGCCGTCTAATTCTTGACTCGTTGCCGGCCGCGTCGAGGAGTTGGATACACTCGTCGGGAATCAATCTTGCTTTACGATTCCATCGAACGGATGTCGTCGATGTTGCCCGACCGTTCCTCGCTGCGCCTCTTTACGACTCTTCCAGGCGATAAATTCAAGCACAGGCTACGCGACTTTGCTAAGTAGCCTCCGCAGTTTCGCGTGAACCCGCTTAAAGACTTCGACGAATCATCCTCGTCGCTTTGGAAAGCAATCGTTTCTATAGAAACCAATCACAGCGTTCCATTTATAATCCGCCTTTGTGGAAACAGATTCCGTTCGTAAAATTATTCTTGGAATAATTCTGGATTCACTGGTGGTAGCGCTAGCTGTTAAGCTATGGACATTAGGTAACTCGGAAATTCTGATTCATTTGAGATTCAGCGCTTGTGAATGTTGGAGCACGTAACACGGTAGCTTCAAACGCTTCTTATGCTTACTGAGATATTACGTTATCGAAACCTTGGAAACTTTTTGCGTAAATAAAATATTTCTCTCTGCTGTAGTTTTAGAGACACGTGGAATATACGTGGAATGGTATATACGATAATAAATAGTTTACAATGTTTTTCCAGATCCCCAGCAAACGCACGGAACTCCAAATTCCTTAGGCGTTAAATTATTGCAAAATAATTTTGAGTCTCAATTCGAAGATGTATTGTATTGGGTTGGCAAGATAGTACTTTCGGTTTCCTAGTGTGAAATAAAACTCAATTTTTTCTATACAGTAAATGAACTTTAATCGGTCAAATATCTTCCATTCTATTCGATGACCTTTTGCCATCTTTCCGTTAACTTCATGATCCCGCGCTCACAGAATTTCTGGTCCTTATCTGCAAAAAGCTTAACCAAATGCGTAAATCTCGACTAGAACGTTGTGAGTACCTTTCAGTGAAAAATCTTCGGAACGAAATTTTTTAAACTAATTCTGACACGTGCGTTCTGTTAAACAATCAACACCATAAACTTCTCATACGTCTTTGTGAGTCTCAGCCGCATTCTTGCCTTTATGAAAATAAAAAAGTAAAATGTGTCGAAAATGCTTATTTTTGCACTCCACGTTAAGACTGGCCGTGAACTGACAGTTATAAACGAAATTACACGGAATTTCACGAAATAGCAACCTAAAGGTATCGACTACCACATCTGAAAAGAAAGAAATTCTAACATTGACAAAAGAATAACTAAACAAGCATAACGTTATTTACTGATGCAAACCGAAAAGAATTTCACGAAATAGCAACCTAAAGGTATCGACTACCACGTCTGAAAAGAAAAAAATTCTAACATTGACAAAAGAATAACTAAACGAGCATAACGTTATTTACTGATGCAAACCGAAATTACTTTCTTGCCAACCCAATACTTAAGTACTGGAAGAGGGGCGAAATCGAATAAAGATCTATCTATCTGTCTCGTAACCCGCCTTTACGGTCCAGTAATGACCTTTCCGTCACCTGGGCGATCTACTACGTCTTGGAGCATCGAAGTGGCACGAGTGCTCGCGATTTCGACACGGATCAATTTCCCGTGCACGCTTGATCCATCGCCGTGCCGAGCCACTGGCCGCGTAATTACGCTAACGAGATCGTCTTTGCGAATCGGACTCGATAATCGAAGGTAATCGCTGTTCCGTGTCGGGGCTACCGATGGACGCGCCTCGTTATCGCCAGACACGGTTTTACCTCGATCGAATCGGCCAGGAATATCATTACGTCGCGAAATTTCGCAACTCGGCCGATCGTCCCTTTCTCCGTCTGCTCGTGGCAATTTCTTTTTGTCGCAGTATCGCGTGATGTATCGTTACTCCGCGGAATAGAGGTATTATATCCTCCAGGCGGCGTGAAATTCGATTTACGACAACCTACTCGTATTCCTCGCCTCACCTCCTGTCGGTGTATCCCCGTGATCGTGACGTAAGGCCTAACGAGGTGCGTACTGGTTAACGAGAAATAAGTTTATCGTATTATGCGCATGCGAGATCGGTACTCGGGTCTACGTTGATTAACCGTGACTGCCGATCGAACCAGATCGCGATCGACGAACGGAGCTGCGATTTTCCCGCCTATGCTAGGCTGGTCACATGCTTGGCGCGTTTCGATTTCAAGTGCAGCCATGACTAAACCCGGTTGTACGCCGAGACTCGGTCGATCGATCGAGACGTGACGTAATTACAGAGGCAGGCATGCGTGCACCACCGGTGGCACCGCGGTTGCGAAATCGCGTTGGCCGAATCGTGAAAACGCCAAGATCGCGTTTTTCCGTATCGCGTATCATGATCTATGGAGGCAACCCTACGCGGAAGTTACGCGTATTAACAACGCTAATTTCACGCGTCTTTTAACATTGCACCGTACCATGCGCACTGCTGGCATGATTGACGTTTGCTTTCTCGATTTCCATCTGTTCTGTTTACGTGTACAGGAAATCCAGCGAGCACTCGCAATTTCGTCGGTAGACGGTAAATAGCGTGAACCGCCTTTCTTAATCGATAGAGCTACGTGACTACCAGCGGACGGTCCCAGACGTTGTTTTGTAAGGTCTGCGACAAGACCTCGATTGCGCGAGTCTGCTTTGCAATTGGGCAAAAAGTTGGGTCGTTAATCGGGCTTCCGCCGAGACGAATCGCCATACATCGACACCGGTCGTAGAAAACGTCAACGATATATTAGATTTATATACTTCTTTATACAAATACTGCTAAGGGTGCCGTTGGGTGCCATCGGAGACGTCTCCGGGCACTCGAGACGTAGCGATAATACTTAAAGAATATAATACAAAGACGGAGTTCTTGATTTCTAAATGGTCCCTTCTTGTAGATGCATCGGTTTCTCCGGAACTCCTCGCCATACTACTTCATCCGCGATGACGCAGCACTCGCAACCTTCCGAATGCTATTCTACCTTCTTCGCCCGGTGTTAATAGTAAAAGTACCTGTAGAAAGCTGGAACAGAGCATTAAAAATAATTTTACCCGGCTTCTGAAATTTCCAACCAATCACTGCAACCATCAATCAACCGATCAAACGTTCGTTTCTAAACTCGCGACATTTTTAACGTCGCTTTCTCCTCTGAAATTTCATTCTCACCAGACCAATCCCGCCAATCATCCTTCCGTATCAAATAGAATTCTCCCAAATTCCCCCAAGCACCGGCGAATTTCCTCGCCAGAACTTCCGCAAGGTACCGTCCGGAACACCCGGCCAGAGCAACGCCACAAACCACCAAAGCAAACGGGGACCCTCGATCACCGCAAACTTTCGCGGACACCGCACGCAAACGGATCTCCAAACAAAAGTTCCTCCATTTCCAGGGTCTCTGCTAGTTGAACAACGCCCGCCCTTCAGCGGCCCTTCGATCCTCCTTCTTGCCGCGAGACGCGACAGCCGTTGCCACGAGACACCAGAATCTGCTCGACTTGCCGCGCAATTTTCGCGAAGGATCGCGCGGCTAACCGGCTAGCCCCGTTCCCGCGAGTAATCGCTGGGACACCTGACCGCCGGTAATGAGAAGTCAGGCCTGGGACCACTTCAAAGCTGCTAATTACAGGGACCCTCGTCACCCGGCCACCCTTCGACCTCATCCACGTCCGATATTCTCTCTCCCTTTGACTGTTAAGTGCTCGCTTTTCTGCCCGTTGCCTTCGACACTGGGCCGACCGCGGCGCTGACAATAAAGTTAACCGAGGAAGGGAGAAGGCAGCGGCGGGATCCATTAGGCTGTGCGTAAAATTTAGGACCCCTCACAGGATGTCCGACCCCACAGGACTGAAGAGAGAGTATAGTATGGTACTGTGCTCGTAGATAAGTAGTAGTGTAGGGGGTTCCTCCCCCCTCGATTGTTGAAGTCGGCAGGGTCGCACAGGTATCCTCTGCTTGGTGCAGGTACTGTGCTCGTAGATAAGTAGTAGTGTAGGGGGGTTCCTCCCCCCTCGATTGTTGAAGTCGGCAGGGTCGCACAGGTATCCTCTGCTTGGTGCTTTCCCTTGTGAAGGGACGAAAGGAAAAGGGGAAGGGATGAGCTTTTTGTCCCGGGGCCTGATAGTGGACTCATCGGTAAATCTGCCCTAGCAGACCCCAATAATATCCCCGTTTAATGGGTTAGTATTACAAGGTCTGGAAGTTATATATATAGGAAGCGGAGGCGTCAGCGAGTACTTGCGAGAAAGTCCTCGAACCGCCTTCGAGTATGAAGCCATCTACCGGCGAGCGTGAGAATTATAGTCGCTACAGTGGCAAGGGTTGGTTTCAGATGCTACAGTCTTTCTCGTAGACACAAGCTCGATCGCGGAACCCGCGTTTGGAGAATACCAGAGAAATCGAGGCAGTCGTGTCTCGTGGTTCAAGTTTAACGATCGCTTCGAGTTACGAGGGACAGCACGTGCGTCGAAGAGTTCCCGTTTACCTTTCTCTCGCGAGCTGCACCATCAATTCTCGATCGCAGACGTGTTCTCGATCGAACTTTCACCGACGGCCGCACGTTCGCGAAACTATATCATTATCACCTAAATCGTGCCCCACGGAACACCCTCCCCGTTCCCGGGAATTTGTCCCCGATTTCCACCCCGTAATTACGTCCCTTCCGCGCAATTATTCCGCGCGAGGAGGAGAGCCAGCCCGATACCTCTGGCCGTTAAAAGCCAAGGGAGACGGGGTATTCTCGTTAGAACCGCGTGAAATAACGCGCAGACAACATCGGAATGGACGATCTCGATATTAACGAGCCCCCTTCATCGCCTGACATTAACGAAAACGAGCGTGGCCCGGCTGTTTTGCGCGGCTGAATTAAATTACGCTTCGCGCCGGTTATCCGGCCGCGAGTTAATCTCTCGAGTTATCTCGCAGCTCCGGGGCAAGCAGCACTTTTAACGCGTTTTCTTGCCTTAACGCGTCGCGACGTTAATCACTGACAGTTCCTCAGATTTCCGCTTCACTGTCACCATTCATGGGCATTAATGGACCACGCGAGCAGGATCCACGAGTATTGTGTTGTATTCGAGCTTAGGAGAACATCAACCGAGGAGGTACCTGATATGGGATCCACAAGAATTGTGTCTTTTCTGAGTTTGCTTTGCTCATTACGTGACTCGTGCCATAGCTCGTCTTATTGGCATACTGGCAAATGTTGCATGCGATTATTCTCATCTGTCATTGAAACAGGCATGGTCCAACCAACGGAGAAGTCAACCCAACGCTTGACTCCGTTGTCGGCCATGGTAGAACTCCCCGGGGAGGTACCTGATATTGGATCCATAAGAATTATGTCTTTTCTGAGCTTGCTTTACTTATTGCGTGGCTCGTGCCATACCTCGTCTTATTGACATATTGGCAAATGTTGGATGATATTATTCTCATCTGTCATTGAAACAGGCATGGTCCAACCAACGGGGAAGTGAATCCAACGCTTGACTCCGTTGTCGGCCATAGTAGAACTCCCCGGGGAGGTACCTGATATTGGATCCATAAGAATTGTGTCTTTTCTGAGTTTGCTTTGCTCACATTACGTGACTCGTGCCATAGCTCGTCTTATTGGCATACTGGCAGATGTTGGATGCGATTATTCTCATGTGTCATTGAAACAGGCATGGTCCAACCAACGGGGAAGTGAACCCAACGCTTGACTCTGATGTTGAGACTCCGTTGTCGGCCATAGTAGAACTCCCCGGGGAGGTACCTGATATTGGATCCATGAGAATTATGTCTTTTCTGAGCTTGCTTTACTTATTGCGTGGCTCGTGCCATACCTCGTCTTATTGACATATTGGCAAATGTTGGATGATATTATTCTCATCTGTCATTGAAACAGGCATGGTCCAACCAACGGGGAAGTGAACCCAACGCTTGACTCTGATGTTGGCCACAGAAGTACGCTCAGGGAGGTACCCAATATTGACGTATTTCTCTTGGACCACTTCAGGTCTGGCGGTATATGAGATCCAACCGTTGGTGTCCATGGCTCATATTACCTCTCACTCTTCCTCATCCAGTGGCATGCACGCGAACGCATGGGACACAATCCATTGGATCCCAAGGGCACCACCGAAACGAGGTGAGTGGTCCTGCCCGGTGCAGGTCGGCCAACTTCACCGAAGTTTTCCTCACCGCACAGCGGACTATTGGAAACATCGGTTCCATCGTGGTTTCTGACGGAACCCAAACGCCAGAACCCTCACCAGCCTTCGTCCTCCGATATGGGATCCTCAGTGGCCCAGTTCATAATTCGACATTTGCGTCGCGAGAATTATCCTCCGACACGTCTACTCTATTCGTTCGTACCCTGGTGTCGCGAATGATATCCCATTGTTCCATTGTTCGCGACGACTGAACAGGTTTACGGGAACGCCCCGTAATGCTCGGAAACTGCTTGGTATTTTTCAATGAACTTTCGTTAACGAGGCAAACATTTGCGGTAATTCCGTTGCAAAGGAAATTTCTCGAGTGGCCTATTCTCTGATTCGATTAACCGTTATTACGCGTAATGACGGGCGCGAGTGCTTCGCGCAACGGTTCCTGGAAACTGTGCACGCGGAGCGGACCTTCGCCCAGCTGGGCTCTCCGCTCGTAAAGCCGCGCCGGTTAAAAATTCACGATTAAATAACAGCTCGTTACGATTGCTCGAAATTATATCACGGCTCTCGTTAGACCAACGATCCGGATTGCGTCGTCGCGCTCGTGGCGAAGGAATCGGCGGGAGCCTAACGACGTGTAATTACGCTTGTTAACGATTATAAATTTCGAAATTGCCCGCGTTACGCGCCTCTCAGGGTTGCTCTCTACCTCTCCAAAAGGCAGCTCGAATTTCTATTATGAGGAAATTCACGTAACTCCATCTTTCGCCGTTAGGAAACATCCTAAGTAGCCCGCGAATAATTTTCCACCTTTCCTACGTTTTAAACCCTGTAATGGGACCTAGTCGGTGTCTGTGGTTGCGAAAAGGAAACGTTTCGAGTCTTCCGAATCCACGAAGGACGTTTCGAGTTGTTTCCTTCGAGAAAGGAGAGCTGAAACCGCGAACTTGACCGTGAAGGAGAAGTCGGGGAGCATTGATCCTCGACAAGAGGAACGATTTTCAGCTTACCACCGAAAGCAGCGACCTTGTCGCCGACCCGGCTGACCTCGTAACACCTGTTACGCCTCGCGAAGTAGCTCAGCCGAGGTTACGCGTAAACGAGTTTAAGTCACGAGGCCAACGAAATCACTTTCACTGACCCCCCGTCTCGTTGCTCTCTAAGTGGATCCCAAGGCTGGCTCTTCTTCGAGGAAACCGGTATTCCCTTCCTCTTTCTCTCTCCTTTTCTCCTATTCCCCGTGGAGCCACGCGACGCGTCATTGCCTGGCGCGATTTCGATAATGAAAGACGAGAGGGAATTTTTACTCGTCCAGGGGTGGAAAATCCTGGCGACGTAATCCCGGAAGAGGAAGCCCTCCGTGCTTCCATTTGCGCGTGGATTACTCCGTGATGTGATTTATGCGAGAACCGAATCGCCATTTTCAGCGAAAATATCGCCGTCAGCTTGGGGGATTTTAGGGGTGGCTTGTTTGTTTTCCCGGCTTCGATTCGTGGGCTTTGTCCATTTGTTTCTCTTTTTCTTTTTTTTTACTCGGTTCTTCGAAATAAAAACGCCAGACCGAGCCGCTTACCTGTACGCCTTCCACCTCTCGCTGACTTTCGTCCGTCGTTTCAAAAATGTTAGTGGAACATTTTATGGTACATTTTGTGGAACACTCGAGAATGGAAGAAACGTTCCTAACTGATTAGCTCGATGTAGCACAAGTGATACAAATCGTATTAGTGCGTGACCGGGTGACGAGCTTGTGAGTTAGTTAGCCGGAAGTGGAGTTCTGGTGTTTCCATATTTACAGGTTTCGTGTGACTCGAGGAATTTGCGTGGGAATGGAATCGAGGCTTCGAAGGTTGGATGCTCGTTTACATATCGCGGTCTTCCGCGTTCTGATGCAGTGTTTGACATTTGACAGAGGTCAGGCAGGAGTGCTGGCCTTGAGGAGTTCACGATCACGTTCAAGATAGAACGCCTTTCACGGAAGCGACCAAGGATCGGACGTGACCTCCGTTCGATTCTTGGATCCGAGGGAGTCTTTCGTCGATGGTCAGGGTGATCGGGGTTAATTGGAAAATGACGGAGCTCGGGGTTTCGTTCGTTATTTAAAAATGACAGGATGCAACGAAGATTACTGCGATGATGGTAATTGCTGCATAATCGTAACGACAATTTCGAACATCGAAACCAAAGCCAAGTTGTAAGTCACGCTTCATGAACGACGCGATGAACGAATTGCGATGATTTGACACGGTCTAGAGGTGTCAATGAATAAATATCGATAGAACTTGGTCCACGATGTAACATTGATCGAACATTCACAAACAATGAAAGACATTTTCATGCAGCGCGCAACAACGCTATGAAGTAAACGAAGATAGGAGCAGGTGGGTGATCCGACGTGTGTGACAACAAATAAATAGCGTTTTATTCACAAGTTAGGTGCACAGGGACGACGACAAGTGCTCGGGGTTAGTGTCACCCCCAATGGTTACTGCTCGCCGCGGTGATCTTTGGTGGAGGTCTGAGTTTTAGGAGCAGACAGGATGCCTCTCTCTGCTTCCCGCGTCACGAAAGCGTTCTCTCTTTTCTCCTTAGAATCCTCCTTAGAATTTACCTTGGTTGGGTGGCACGAATCCGTATCCGCTCGCGCCCACTATCACTCCACTGGAGTCCGCGCTATTTGGCGGTGGACCCGGAGGGAACAGCACTGGACCTAAACGAGAAATCATCGTCATCAGAAATCTCGAAGCCGTGGAAAAATATTCTTCACGAAGAATTCGCTTTGATTCATTTTTCCTGACACCTAGCTACCCCAAATTAACGCTCTTTGACACATTCTTCAGCTTCGGATCGTTAAACCCTTAACCCACCTAACTTCCAATTAAAAACTCCGCGTTGACCACTTGTCTTTTCTTTGCGGTTCTTTTTCCTTCGTTTTCTTACCCACCGGTCGTTTGCCGGTCATGGTAGATTTAACAGTAGAGACAGGGAGTGCAAGAGTTGCGGCAAGAGCTGTCCAATCCTCAAACCAACGTCACGTCGATTCTTACAGTCGTTCAATTACATCCAACTGATTAATCTACCGCCTCTCTTCACGGCAAAGAGAGTCGACTACCGCGCGAGACCTCAGGTGTCATTCATCAAGCCGATCATTAACCCCTTTCGTCATTCCCGCTCTATACTCGCCGACCCGATTTCGCTGGAATTTCAATGAAAAACGGCATCTCGGCACATTCTCTATTCCCACGAGAACTCGGTGTTTATGAAAAATCATAAACGCGCTTTAACCATGCTCGTTAGCCGTCTGTCACAACGTGGCTCGCGTTCGTTCGACTAACAGTTCCCTCGCAAGACCATGCATCGATGAAATTGCACGACTGTCCGGTTCCAAGTCTCGTTATCCGACTCGTTATCCGTCGACCGACCTGGACTTGTCAAAAACGCGGCAAAGGATGGAAAATCGGACCAGGAATCGGTTATTACAAAATTCTTTGCGCAAGCAGCGGTCTGGCCTTCACGGTCGCTGACTACGATCGAGATCGCTGATCGGCTGGATCAAAGAACCCCTGCGAGGCTCTGTTTCCTTCAACCATGTTTGGTTCAAGCTAACCAACCGATTGTTCTATCACGACCAAAGGCATAAGTACGAATCATGCTTCATGGCGTTCCGTGCACCTGTGGTCTTCGTGACCTTTTTCGCGAACGATGGGAAAACGGATGATGAAATTATACACATACAGGAGCTAGAATGTTAATCGATCGGTTAAATGATCGTCACACTGTGCATTGTTTTCGAGCCACGCAGCATTCTTGGAGCTCTCAAGGAAATCCAGTGAGTGGAAATCTGCTCGCATCGGGAAGTAATTTGCAGCATGAACGATTATTAATCGATGTCGCAGCGAAATAGAGAATTACGGTAACGCAGGAAATCGCGTGCAACGAGCTACCCGCGAGATCCTTATCTCGCCGCGGGAAGCTGATTGCGAAACCGCGGCTCACTATGGCGAACACCTGACCAATTGTTCCGGTTAATTAAGAAAGGCAAACGACCTATCTAATGCCGCTACAATAGACCGTTCTTTCAGTTACTTCTTCCTAATGAAGCATTACTCTTTACGTATTTAATAGAGTTTCTTTCCCTGCCTGTAAATTTGATCTGCGACGAAACACGGGGACGCAGGCACCGTGTGTCACGGTGTACCAGTCGAAAGGAGGAAAAATCGTTATCTAACACACGGTTAGAAGAAGTCGACCAGTTCAGCACGCCAGGTTGTACCGTCAGCTGGACTTTCGCGGCGCTGTTTATTGTAGGTGAGTTTGAACTTGGCACCCATTCCGTGCGTAAACGCGCCGCGTTCCACCGATCGCAAGGATCGCGTATCCTGGTTACGTGTGCATCGGCTGGCGCACGTGGAGCAGGCAAATGTCAGAGCAGCAGGATTGACCTTAGAACGCGAGTCGATAAAGAGATTGCTATAGCGAGCGACGTGTCTTCGATCATCTTGTCAAACGCGCGCCATAGAAATTGATCGACGAGAGATTTCTAAAATTGATTGGCCCGGTTTAAAATAGCCCCGCGTCTCGTATATTTATAGAAATCGAGTGGCAACGGTCGGAAATTGATCTGGAATATATACAATCGCTTTCCCTTCGTTCTCGATGTATTATACTAATCACGATCTGTCGGTAGCTCAACTAAGAGCCGATAAACCCGTACCGGTAGACGCTCAGATCGGAATAAGCTCGACGTCGACCAAATTATCGCGGCGATTTAACTTTCTCATCATTGAACATGATTTCTGCACCGGATTTCGCGATCGAACCTTTGCAGTCGAAGATAATCTCGTTTAGCAGCTATGTTACGCTCCACGGAGAACGCGCGCATAAATTTAATTACCCGCCAATTCGCCAATTCATGAATCATTCCTGCGGTGAAAATAATTGAAAATTGGACAGGCTTCGGGTTTTAATTAAAATCAAGGCTCTTGTCGGTCAAATGGACAGGGGGAGAGGTATAAAGCTATATTGGAAGGCGATTAAAGGAGTTTGAAAGGCAAGAGAGCGAACAGGATCGGTTACTTACCCCTGTTCGATCTTGGGTCTCGCATCGCCGCTGGTTGCCTTAGGTAAGGTCCGAATCCTGCGAACAGCTGACTATAGTCCTGGGACGTAGCCACTGCCAGGACCATTAAAACCAAGGTTACCAGAATTGTCTGAAACAGAGAGCGGTTTCATGCTTCATCCCAATCGCTCATTCCATCTTTACGATTTTCTTTTTCAGCCTGCAATTTGCGCAATCTGCCATTACATCTGGCTAAATCATATTCGACAGGTAAATTAACCCATCGAGCGGACGAATCATTAAGCATTCGCGAGCCTGCTTTCACCGTTTCCCAATATTCCGGCAAAGAGTGACTTTCGAAAAATTCGACTCGAGCAAAAATAGAAATCCTCGAGTACATCGTTCGGTTTTAATCGAGTCCCTAGGGACGATGAATTCGAAGGGGGGTATCGATACGAGTCCAGGCTCCGCAGAACCGGAAGCGCCGCCATTAACGTCGCGGATTCCGCCGTACGACAACGAAAAACGATTAACGAGACACGAAAGCTTGGTTAAACGATCTGAAAATGCTTCTAACAACGAAACGGTAACCTGGATCCGATGATTGACGATCGAGCAAAGCTCTATATGGAGCGGTGCCCTGGCAACGTGACAATTTTTACGAGCGTTCCTCGGTTAACAATGCAGCAGAATTTATGTGCCAATAGCCGTGGAATAAAATCAGCACCCTTGTCGATCATTTAGCAGGCCTTCAGCTCCGTTCCTAGACAATCAAAACTCAGCTGCTGGCTCCCTAACTCGCCTCTAGACGAGAAACCTCCGGCTGAAGTGTTACTTGATAAATTAACTGGGATGAATTATGGAGAACGTTAGGAGTAAATCGCGATACCGAGCCATTTTACTAGCCCCTGTCCCATTTGACTGATAAATCGCGGCGGCTGGATTTTTAATTGATTCGCCTGTCTGCCGAGTAACTATTTCTGTTCCGCGCTCGTATTTATGGAATTTAGAGTAGAAAGGATCCTAGAAATAGATCGTTCCCAAGATTTATAGAGACTCGTAAATGTATACGCATTCCCGTGCATAGCCAAATCAGAACCCCGGCAAGCTTCCGTTTCCCTGTAGCACCGTGGGTCTTTAATTACTCTTTCGACAGCGATCGTCAGCATCGTTGCGACAGGTTCCTGCCACTCGATCCCGGTTTCCGCAAAAAGCGATAAATATTCCCAAGGTGTTATCAGTTCCCTAGACATCTCGTGTCCGCGAAGAAAGGCTCGAAAAGGGAACGCAGCGTGTCGCAAAGGTGTCGCAAACGATCCGCCTATGATCCATTCGAAAATTAGATTTCGAGTCGTAAATTTCTTCCCGCCTCGTTTAAATGCTTGGCAGAAAACGAGCTCGGAGAAAGGCGATTTGTATCGTGTGACAGCCGATGATCTCCTCGCTTTTCATCCTAGCCTTCCGTTACGTAAAATCTGACGAAATCGTTACGCGACTTTATGTGCCGCTCGTGGAGGATTCCATCATCGTTACAGGCATGAGAACAGCGTGGAATAATTGCGCGATCAAATCACGGTTGATCGTTAAACAAGCGTTCATTCTTCTATCGGGTTTCTGTATCGAAAGCAAGGTGAGCAGCGCGACACGTCATCGCCACGCGATTTCTTTCCCGATGCTTGACACAATGTCAAGGCGATTAATTCTCCGCCGTTATGAGAACGCTTTATTTACTATTTATATCGAGCAGTTCCCATCGAAGGATTTCTGATATCGTTAGAATTCACGAGACGTCTAAGTTCACAGGCTAGGTCGAGCATGACAGACGAGGAAGGAACGTTACGTGGATTTATCAACGATCCACTCCTCTCTATGACGAGGATCGAGTTACGCCATGCTGGATTTGCTTGTCACGAGTTTCAACGGGGCTGATCGTGGCAGGGAGAGAGAAAGACAGCTTAATGATACAGTTTCACGAGTACGAAAGGTTGACCGTTGATTGGCGTCGGGACTAATTAGCGACCGCGTAATTACTCAGGCTGAAATCGCGTCTGAGAAAAACTCGCCACATTGTACGATCGAGAATTTTAAAATCCCCCTTTCTTTTCAAATATGGAGATACCACAGAAATCAGTGACGAGTTTCTAAATACTGTCAAGTCGATAAAGATAGATGCAAGGATCAGTATGTACCTGGATGTCATTTTCTCTACATCATACTGGAGATTTTTAAATGCAAGTCATACCTGACACTTCGATATTGCAAATATTACACACTTATGACAGCAAATAATTCAGACGAGTAGTTTTTTGAAAAATTCAAGGCAAAGGAGATGAGGTAAATATTTGTACGTCCTTCTGATGCCATTTCGGCTTTGCTGTGGATAGAAATAGTACACGGATTGACACTACATAGCGTCGTAACATCACCTGTGTCGTCATTTGTGTCAAGCTCTGGTGAAATAATTATTTCTATCTGTATTCTAAATTTTCCAATTCGTACCTAGTTCCTCGTCCTATTAATAGCTAACTCTCTCTATACTCGGATCACAGGTCACTTACGTAATTAATTCAAATTCGCGTACCCCAGTGTGCACATACCCCGGTATGTGGAAGTTACGATCTACCCAGGTCATTTCACGCGGCGCTTGCGTTCGAAAGAACTTTTCAAAGGCGTGGAAATTCCGTGCAGATCACCGAAGATCGTTGCGCAAGCTTCCCTAGAGGAACGAATCGCGAACGGGAAAACAAGGTCGAGGTAGCGAGGCAAATTGCACGTTGGATTATCAGCAGTGTCCACGGGAAAATTCCGTTCCGATCGAACTCCGAAATGCTTTTACATCGCACAGCTGACTTTTGCTAAACGGTTAACCGAGTTTGCACTCAAGGTGGCAGGAACGACATTGGAGGGACGCCTGAAAACGCGAAAGAGAGCGAGTCGGGGCAACTTTGCCAGGGAAGTCACGCGCGTTCGATCGTAGGTACGCAGGCACGAGGTTGCCCACAAACCACGGCACACATGTGCGTACACCGTGACCATAGATCACGCCGCTGCGATATCTAAACCAACGCGCGTCGATGATCACGAGGAGAACCGCACGTAGCGAGCCTACGGCTACCTCTAGGCGAGCGCGTGTAATTTATGCCTCGCATCGTTGCGAAATAAACGTAAACATATTGCATATTTGTCGGAGTGAAGCCGCGTACGAAATGCAGAGGAAAGTCTCTAGAACCGGAGAAAACCGGAGAACGTGCTTTCCGCGCCTGGATTAATGGATCGCTTGATGAATCGACTTGTACGTCGATGGTACTAGTTATCTAGCTATTATCTGACTGAATTGTAAAATGTTCCCATAGACCTAGTAGATTTGATCTCGCGATTAGTGTGTAATTTGCCATTTTGGGGGGCGAGTCTCCAGTTTTCTTGGAACCTTCGAATCATCAAAAATCGGATGATATCGAGCGAATGGATTGACTGAATTCTCGTGGCTTTCAGGTCAAAGTATCCTAGAAAGTGTCTAGTGTCACGCGAAGACCAGCGAGCAGTCTATCAAGTGTCAACAAAGGCAAACTGAAACCGTGGAACAATTGAGGCTAGAGTAATGTATGGAATTACAATCGCCCATCTTTCAGTCGAGTGCTCAACATCGAAGATCGAAAGTGCACTGTCACCCTGTGCACGGTGATTACTCTCGGTACGCTACTTTTGTCGCGGAACGTGTAATTTGCACGATCTATCTTTCCACGTTCCTGGGACTTTCCTTTGGGCCGTGTGGCAACGGATTTATCAAGCCGGGGATATTTCCAGGAAGGATTTTAGCCTCCTTTCTATAGAATGATCAATAAAAGATCGGGTCGACCCGTTTCATTATTTTCCCTCTAATCTGCCCGTAGCCGCCCGCGGACAGTTTCGCCCGTTCCCTTTCGACATTCCGCGTTTGACGACGCGGGTCGTCGGAAATAACGCTGAAAGTGGCGATCGAGGTCTGTCCGATCGATAAACATCGGTATAGATGTAGTCGAACAAGTTGTAACACGTGTAACGCTCGGTTTCCCTGATAACCATCGCTATTACTACTTACGTGTGGGATCAGGTGACTGTGACTGACAAGGTACCCACGCGAAGTACATCACTGACAGCGAGTAAAATCCAACACGCGATTCACGTATAATGTCTCATTAAATCGAATGGAATGGCACATTATGTCTTCGACTCGAAATTTCTGAAGGGAAACATCACGAAATTACCTCGAATTTTATTTATATTTGAAAATTCTACCTATTCAACGCGATATCTATTTGGTACTAGTACTTCAGTCTACTTTGGTTCCAAATTTATTTATCGTCCGAAATTCCATCGAAATTTTTCAGTACAAAAATTACCGAATCTATTTATCTCTTTGCAGCACAGGATTTTGGATAATAAAATAGACCCCTGTTGCATAGAAATTTTACTGCGTTTTAAATTAAACGAAATTGGTATATTTTTGGTAATAAAGGATTCACATGATGTAAAAATATAAAATCAGGAGAAAAAGATTGTCGCAATAAACCCTCCACTTGTAACAATTGATGAACCTGTACTGGCATGTTAAATGTTACTAACACAAGCGAATACATTTATAATATTTGTTGAAGGTATTACCAACTGCTTTACGTAAATAAGACGAAATATAAACTTGTGCGCATGCAGCTGTTGCAATATTTCGAGGTGGGACTCAAAATGTCCCACCATGCATTGCGGTGCATCAAAATGGTGGGACACTTTCAATCCCACCGTGCCCCAAAGAGTTAACACTAGTAATTCCATCGATTTGGCACCAATTTATATATTAATCAAAATTCCGTTTATCGAATCCGATTATTTTTATTTTAAATACCAGTGGATCGACTCCAAATCTACTCACCCCATATAATTCCTATTATATCGATCTTAATCGATACCGAGTTTCGAATTTTTCATTACGAATATTACCGAATCTATTCAACGCTAGTAATTCCATCTATTTGACTACAAACTTATATATTAATCAAAATTCCGTCTATCGAATCCGATTATTTTTATTTTAAATATCAGTGAATCGACTCGAGGTCTACCCACCCCATATAATTCCTATTATATCGATCTTAATCGATACCGAGCTTCGAATTTTTC